CAAAACCCTCCCTCCCTCCAAAACTCAGCCCCAACCTGCACGGTGGCACAAACCCACCTCTCAGGCTGCTCTGGCATTTCGTACCGTGAACACCCCTTTATTTCTCCCTCAGCGCTGGTTTCTGTAGAAATCCCATCCCATCAGGACTGCTAATACAATCTTTTTCCATTTCAAAGCTCTCCAGTGAAGCTTTCTTCCCCTTTCCTCCCCAAGCACTCAGCTAATTGAATCCAGTTCTCAGCTCCACTCTGTTATAATTTCATTCTCTCCATTATAAAAAGTGCATCTTCAAGGACTACGTAGCTCAGGTTGTACTAAAGGTAAATATTAAACGTGGCAGCATCAGAGGGAAAAGCAGCAAAAGGGAGGGACGGCACCATTAGGCAGCTGCTTCCCCCCGGCTTCCCCAGGAGCTCGGTGCTGCTCACAACCACAGAGCGTTCAGGGTCTAACGTGATTTCTTTAGCAAATGCTACTTTTTCTTGTCGTTCTCTTTTGTCTGAATTTCCTTGTCACGGTTCGGCTGCAATTACCTACTGACAACGTGGCTTAGATTTCATCCTAAGGAAAGCACCTCTTGGGCTCCATTTTATGGGAATAAGTATGTGCTTACAGCCCTGGAAAGGGGTGGGTTAGGAAAGTTGAGCAGTTCAACCCATTTTTAAAGCTGTCGTTCTCTCTTACAAGAGCCTTTCATTCAGAATACTTTAACAGAGGGCTGCCTTCTACGCTGGCTTTGTAAGCACCATCTTGGTTTGTGGGCACCACAAAAGGATGCTCACTGCACTGTCCTGCCCATTTCAGGCAAATCCCTGCTAAATCCCAACTCAATCCCATCCAGCTCAGATCCCCCGCGCTCCTGCCAGGAATACCTATCTTTGTTTGCACTGCAGCCTGGTTAAATTCAGCCCCCCTCCGCTGCGCTGAAGGTTATTTTCTCCTCTGCTCTGTCTTGCTGAATACGAAGTGCATGTCAATGAGAGCCAGAAAATGGCAGCTTGTTGCTATTTATAGGACACAGATTTGTCTGTCTGACCATGTATGGGAGCTGCAAACAAGGAGTCAGAGGACGTGAGGGAGGACACGGAGGGTTGTTTGGGGAACAAGACACCTCCTTGCTTGGTATTCATCATATTAATATTCCATAATCTCGAGGGTGCTGGAAGCAGGGGTATAGAGAGCTTGCCCCAGAAGAGACTTTCCAGTGCTCTCAGACCACCTCTCAACTATCTGGGACGTGGCTCTCCTTCCTCCAAGAGCTATTCTCACCGCTGCATCCCCTCTCGTGCGCTGGCCAAGTCTTGGTGGGCTTCCACAAGTCCCCTCTCAGCCCTGGAGAGCCCCGTGGCCACCCAGAGGCAGCAGGACCCCGGTGGTGGCGGCAGCAGAGCCACTGCCCATCACTCTCCCTCGCGGGATTCAGGTTTCTGCCAGCTCGGGGATGTCAATGAGCCCTTTGGGGCTCAGCAACCCTCTGGGTCCAGCGGTGCTGCTCAGCCTCGCTGGACACCAGGGACTGGAGCCATCTGGGCACGTTTCTTCCAGACCTTCTCGCTTCCAGGGCAGTTTTCAGACACAGTAAATGAAAGATCAAATCCGTTACCCAGCTTCTTTTGCCATTATTTGCAATTCACCTTTCTCACCGGTGTGCTAGGTTTTACTTTCTGTTGTGACCCTTTGCTGTTTGCAGCTCCCGCTAAAAACGTTGAGTTGACTGACCACCACAATAGGGGGGAAAAAAGGGGGGAAAAAAAAAAAAAAAAAAAAAGCCACAGATCCCTGTGCTGCAGTCTCAGATAATCCGGTCAATACACACACAGACACACAAATGCAGCTCTAAAGATTATTTCTAAACTGGTGGACTGTGTCTTACTATTCAACTGTTTCCCTCTGCGGTGCCGGTCTGTCTCTTACAGCTTCTTTTACCTTTAATTTTCCTTCCAGCTTACACCAAGAATCACGTGGACATCGCAACGCAGGGCTGGTTCATCGGTCTGATGTGTGCCATAGCTCTCCTGGTCCTTATTCTGTTGATCGTCTGCTTCATTAAGAGGAGCAGAGGTGGGAAATACCCAGGTACGAGCATCGCATGGCAATCGTTTGTGCTCATGGTTTAAACATTTCCAGGCTTCTGGGGGCTAATCAAATTGTATTGCTCTCAGATAGATGCTTGCGATTACAAGGGCTTTTTTTTTTTTGCTTTTTTTTTTTTTATTATTTTTTCCCCCCGTAGTGGGAACACTATTATTAGTGGGAAGCATTTCAGTTAATTAAAGGTTGGGTGAGGGCTCTCTGCTGTGCAGACTTTAGGCTGCAGAGCTGGACACTCCTGCTATACATGACCCAACTGCAAATGTGGCTTGGCCTCCTCTAGAAAAAAAAAAAAAGATCTTTTCAGGCAAAAATCTCATTAAATTTTTGCAAAGCAAAGATAAAGGCTTAAGAAAATTCACCAATGAATACATCCTCTCTTGCTATCTGTGCCCTGGTGCCACCACAGCAGCACCCTCTCCAAGCCCTTTGCAAGCTCTCCAAGGTGTGGGATTTTCTTTTTTTTTTTTTTTTTTGACAAAGTCAGTGAAAAGCTGGACTTCACCCTGCAGGGATTTTACAAAGACAGCCTCAACGCCAGCTGCTCTTGCTGTCTGTTTTATCCTCTGTACCACGTTTTAACGTCAGTGTTGGGGATGTGCTTGTTTACAGTACGAGACAACAAAGACGAGCATCTAAATCCCGAAGACAAGAACGTAGAAGATGGGTCGTTCGACTACAGGTATGCTTCCACCGGCATGTGCACCCACGTCTCCCCATCAGCCCCTCTCCCAGCCATCACAGACCTCACCGCGCTACCCCTCCACGTAACCGCAGCACTGCGGTGCCACACAGCCTCTTAAATTACTTCTCCTACCTTCCTCCTCCTGCCTCCTTCCCCCCCGCGACTCCTCTACCAAAGGAAATATTTCCTGCCTGGAAGAGTAACCAGGCTGCGAGGATGCTGCTAAGGTCTTCTCCTTTCCCTGCCTCAGCCTGGGAGGATCAGGCCAGGCAGAGAGCTGGGATTCCGGCATCAGGTACCCGGGACACAGCTCTCACCAGGTGCAGATCAACCCTAGCGACACTCCTACCACGTGAAAAAGGAAAAAAAAAAACCAACCCAAAAACCAAACAACAACAAAACCCCCCACAAAACCCCTCTTAAGCAGCCTGAGGATATTTGAGATATATCACCCCGAGCTCAGCCTCTCTCCTACCCATAAGAGAATATCCAGGGGAGAAGTTCTGCTTGGCCCAGCCCTGAAAGCACACAGGAGTGCTGATCTGGGGTCTGCCTGCATTCTGGTCCAGGATTTTCTGCAAGATTCCCCCGGGAAACCCCACGGAAACCCCCCCCTGAGGGCTGCGGCACAGCCTAGCAGCAGTTCTGCTAAACCCACTCTGATTTCCATCCCCCCCCAACTCCACTCAGCTGCTTTCACCCAAACCAGCATCCTTTGAAGAGCAGCAGTGCCTGGTTTTTACTCCAGGAAAACTCCCCCGGGTATTTCAGAAAGGGGCGAGGGCTGTCGCCAGCCTGCTCACGTGCAGTGCGGCATTCGCAGCGCTGCCAACGGCTTCCCCCGAGGAGCAGGTAACGTTGGGTCGTTGGCTTGCCCACACTTGACAGATGACAGGGACGTATTACAGCACCCCCAGCTCGCCCTCTGAGCGCCTACAGTGGGCTTGGCTTTTCTTTAAAGAATTAAAAATGCACCTTTCCATCTGAGCTGGATCCAAAGCCCAATTATTCTAGCAGGAATTTTCCTCCTGACTTCAAAAGGGGGTTAATTAAACCCCATGTCATTACCGGTACTCCTAGCATTACAAATCGAGGTAGCAAAGATAGGAACAATTTATTTATGATTCAGTAAGGGATGTAACAAGACACACGCGTTCCGCCAAAGACTTCGGGGGGAGCAAAATGCCTGCACACGAAACGTAAATGGAAGTAGAACAACTGCAGCCCTCAACGCTCACATTTATATTGTTAGGAGCGTGGTAGCTATTTCAGTAGCAACTCTTTCGCCAAAGGATGTCGTAAACCCAAAGCTCCCCAGTCTTCTGAGAGCACAATACAGAATATAAACAGACCCCAGCAGGAACCAGAATAAGCAGCGCGCTGTAGGAAAAACCCACCATTCTTTATTGCCCTAAACAACACCCGGGGGCAACACCTTCCTCGCCCTGCTGTGAGATTTGGTTATCGCTTCTAGTGGGGACAAACCACACCAGGGTAATTATATTAATTCCACATACAAGTCAGAACTTGGGGCTGTTCCCGTCAGATTCCTGGCCAGAGAAGAGCAGAGGAGAAGTGAGCTCAGCCTGGTCCTGCTGCAGGCTTTGTCCCGGATCAAATGCATCTCCTCCCAGGCATGATTTTACAAGTGCAGGCAGAGCTCCTCGTACAGATACAACCCATAACCACATACTACACAGCTGGTGCCCATACTTTACCCAAAAGAAATCCTCTTAATGCTCTGAGTCATGACAGGGATCCTCTGGGTTTCCCAAATCTGTGCTACCACGTAGCAAGCCTGAAACTTCTCATCACCCAGGAGCTCCCCACACAAAACCCCGCGGGCTCAGCTCCATCACCTGGATCTCAGACGAGGTCTCCGCAGCCGAGCTTCTGGCAGTACGCACTGATTTCAGAAATCTGCTTCTCAAGAGTCCGCTGAGGTGGTTGCAGTCAAAACCTGCTCACCCCCATCGCTCCTAAGGCATTGCCAGGGACCACTTGCCTTGCACAGAAGGAAAAGCAAGCTCTTGGCATGGCTGGCAGCATTGTGACAGTCAGCAATGCTGCGCTTGCTGCCCAAGCACCATCCAAGGGGCATTGCCTCCCGGGAGATGGGAAGGAATGGGGTAAATCCTTCATCCTGCTACCCAGCAGCATCCGCTTAGCTGAAGCTCAAACTTCTATTGACAGCCCCATTCCCAAAAGTTTGCAAGCTAAAGGCAGATGTCAGTAGAGGGACAACCACCAAGCTCCAAAATGCTCCAGCATTTTCCATCACACTGTCCCATGGACTAGATGGGGGAAAAAAAATCCCAAACCAAACCTCTCAGTCAACCAAGATCAACAAAACGAAACAAAAAAAAAAAAATCCCCAACAGCCCATAAACTTTGCCCCCTCCTTCTCAGGAACAACAGGTTTCCTTGGAGAAGTAATAGGAGGCTTCCCTCAAGGAGGCAGAAAGGAAGGTGAACCCGAAGGATTGGTATGAAACGCTGTTGGCTGATTAAGATTCAAAACGATTGCAGTGTTAGGCTCAAGGAGGGTAGCAATTAGTATTTCGAGCAAGGAGAGGAATTGAGCTGACGTGAGTTCTTCATTGGTTTCCCTCCCCACCTCCACATAGCATGTCTGATATGCTCTCATCATATCTCACGTCCTTAATGCCCTGTGCATGCAACTTTCAAATCTCTGCAGCCTATAATTAAGAGATACTGTCACATCTTTCTGTTCCACTAACAGAATAATGGTTTTCCTGAGCAGAGGCTAAGCTGAGAAGCTTATTTTCAAAGCAGGAGACCATTATCCTTGGACAATGTTCTGTGCCAGTGACTGTGCCTCATTATACCAAATGTTTAAGCTGGATATGGGGGAGTCAGCTGGAAACCCTGGCCACTGGGAAGGCAAAGTTGAGTGGTTTTAGGTTCTGGGCTCCAGTTCAGATTTAGGAGAGTGCCCCGTGGAACAGGTTACTGCAGGTAGTGCCAGCTCGCCCTGAACGGCCCATCTCAGCAGACACCGAGACAGGAGGACGCAGAGCTGTCCCCTGAGCCTGGTGAGGGGAGGAGAGGGCTGGCGAAGCAGCCCGGGCAGGTGGAGGCTTGTCACTGGAGGACGTGACACTGGTGAGTGACCGTCGCGTGGAAACCCAGCAGAAGGCTGGAGGGGAAACCGAGCGACCCGTTCCCTTGGCCCGTGTCCTGCTGCATGTTGGTCCCCAGCAGCGGCCGCTGGCTGATGGACTTCAACCCCCAGCCCTGTCTGAACAGCCCCGCCGGCAACAGCCCGCCGGCAACAGCCCGCCTCCCACCTGCACCACCCACCGCTGCTCCGTAGCAGCTTTCTCGGGGAAGCCAATGAGGCTCATCCAGCTCTGGACAATTATAACTGGCTCCATTTGGTATAACGAGGCAATTAGCTCCATGAGGAATGCAGACGTTTCTTTTTTGGTTTTTAGCACTGCCCCTGTAAATTGCGGACCTCATCATATCTCTCTCTGATCAGGCTCTTTCTGCTTCTCTCTGTTTTATTCCCATTCTTTCTTCTCCTTTTCACCTGGTCTATCCACATGGACCATGAAGGTCTCTTGAAAGGTAGGACCACGTGCTGCCAGAAGTCCGGCACATTTAGCTTTTTTTTTTTTTTATTTTCCTTCCTTCTAGCTATTTATTTCTTTATAGCTGAAACTACACCTTCCCCTCCCTATTCCCATGTACCTGCCTCCACCTAACACATTAAACAAGATCCCTCTAACTGCTGCTGGCATCAGGGGTACCCCCATGTCCAACAAGCTACATCTTGCTTGGAAATGCTCTGTGGGCTGGGGGCACCCCCAAGCAACAGCCAGGCCCCCCCCCCCCCCCC